GCAGAGCGGTTAACCCTATAGGCAGATTAACTTTACCGTCAAATGGCCATTGAGTTATGCTCTCTTTGACTTGTCAGTTGAGATCAGATGTATTAACGATATTAAAGAGGCGCTAACCGAACATACCCGATCTCTACAGCGGGGAAAACGAGCGCGTGGCGCAGTGGTAGGGGCGTTGGACTTCTAACCAACAGGTCGCGGCTTCGAGCCTCAAGAGTTGCGGTGCGTGGGATTTGGTTTCGCTGGCTGACTACAGCTAATAAACCAAAAATAGCAATTCTAGTCTCCCTTGCGTCTGTCGTTGAAGGTATTTAGCGTGCACTTTCAGTCTCTGGAGATAGTTAGACAGAACAACTAACCGAAAGGTCAGACACCTAAAAAACCTCTCCCCTCGAACGATATTTCTTTTGACTACATGGAAGAGTGCACAAGCGCGTCTTCCTACCAACATTTACCTACAGAGCTGTCATCATGCCTACTCTAGTCAGCCAAGGTGACGTCGCGGATCGTACCTCTCCGCAAGTGACAATTAGCGACAGCGCATCAGGAAAGCTCAACCCCTGAGATTGAATATCGAAGGTCCAATAACTACTTTCAGGTCTTAAAGAACTATGCGAAGCTTGGTGTTTACGTGTCATCCTCTTGGACGTTGTCAAGTAGGCTGCGGCGCTGGATCAAGGCCAGTATAACAAAGCTTGTGTGGCGGACGACGGAGAAAGCGCCTAAACCACCTCAGTCATTTTCCTTGCCTGGTCTGAGATATTCTCTCGATAATGTTAGTGTGCATCATTAGAAAGATGGTCCTCGAACAGCGGTGGTTGAATATATTCAGTCTTCGCTCACCTCCAAAGCGCAAGGCCAACATTCACACTTAGAAACCAAGCGGCCGCCATCTCTGGTCATCAAGATAACTCCTCCAGCGTGTGAGAAAGACAGTGCTCTGAGAAACAACCTTATCCTGCAGATAATTCAGCGACTGATACTGTCTATACAGACAAGATGGACCGGGACGACTGTTTGAGGACAGGCACACGCATATTCAGACCCTAGGTTTGAACGCGGTCTTTATGGAGCCGACGCTTAGCCATTTAATTATATATAGTCGGTTGCGACAGGGAATACTAAGGTACGGAAGGATTTGCTTTCTTTAAGTGCATGAGAAAATGGAGGCACTCAATTTAGCAGAAAGAGACCCTCGAAGATAAACTTAAAGTTAAAATTAGGTGTGTCTCCATGTGCTACCGCAGCAAAGCAGATGATTATAATGTCAGAAAAGGGAAATGCGATGCATCTATCAGGCGAGTAGTAAGTCATTTTGCATCTGAGGTGATAAAAGACGGTTCCGCTGTTTTAAACCACTTGGTCAGCATCTCCACAGGCTTATGACACCCAATGCGAAACCAAGTAAAACTGTATTTAGTTTATCGTCGACTGCATGCTCGCCAGTGCACGCTACACCTCCAATGATATGTTGTAGCAAAACCTACAGTAAGAAGCGCAATAACCAAGCTTTTGAATACGACTCAGAGCACTGAGAAAATGTACGATTTAGACTATCTCAGTGACCT